CCGGGCCGCTGCGTATACGGGTCGCCAGGGTAATCTAATCAAATCGAATCTTTTAAAATTTATTTTTTGTAATTTTATTCCGCTCTATATATGTAACTCATTGCTGTGCATTTGCAATGTAATGAAATATGCAGTAATTATATATATATATAAAAATATATAAATAATAGCCTAGAATTTGTGTTTTTATGTCTATATTGCATGTTTTAATACATTATGGTCTATTTATAAGCTCAACTCAGCTCAGCTCAGCTGAGTTCATAAGCTGTAATGTTTCCATCAGCACTGTGTGGCTGCAAACTAGTTTACTAAACCTTGTTGCTGGCCCCTCTGCAGCTGATTTATTTCTGATACTAATCAGGACACCGAAAATAAGGAGAAGGAGAAGCAGGAGGCAGAGAGGGAGGAAAACCAAAGAGCGCGATTATAGAACAGAACAGGCCTGCAGGCAAAACCATATTACCATATATTTTCTCAGTCTGTGTGTGTCAGCGCAGCAGCATCAGCAGCATCAGCATGCTGCTTGACCACTGTCGCACAAAACGCACAATCTGTGTGAGGTTGCATAAAAGTTTCCCATTTTTTCTCTATACTACTGAAAGTTGACATGCCTTTTAATACACAAACTGACAACTAAATCTATGTTACCAAAGTGATTTTTTTGGACAATTAAATGGCAATTTTATGAAGCTTCAAATACACACAAGGATTAAAACACACTTCATTTAAGGCTATTGATGAGTTAAGCTCAAGTTTTGGGCCATTTGGGGGCAGCAGAAAGTTGTGACAACACTGACACATTTTCACATATCATATGTTGACATATATTTAAGTGTCCGGCAGTTAGGGAGTTACGTTATCATTAATTTGGAGTGGTGTATCTAATGACAGTCCTATAGTCACTCTTTTTCAGCTCTGTTTTTGGTTTCTTCTAACTACTGAGGGAAATATCTGGCTCTTTAGTTGCTAAATGCTCAGCTATGTTCACTAGCTGCTAACGGTGCCTGTCTAGAGTACACCTTTTACATTATAATGATACATTGTTTTTAGAAAAATACTGATTATATCAGCTTTAAGGCAATCTTAACAGAACCACAAAGGGCATATTTTTCAAAAGATACATCATACAAGTGGGCACTGATTATCAGAGAATTACCTAACACTATATCACACCAGGAGTTTCTATAATCACACCAGGAAAGGACAATCTAACACCAGTTCCTCCATCACGTAATGCCCTGGACCTCACAGCCATAGCAACACCTTTTTTGGCAGATAAGGCAATAGGGATGGCAACATTACACATCCTTCAGAGGTTGAAATTGGAGGCGGACATGGTTTCCATGACGACCGCTCCGTGTATCCCAGAAACTCTGGCGGCCGTGCCGCTGTGATTGGCACGCAGTATTGTGTGCCTGCTGAGTGCGGCCTCTCACTGTGTGTCCATGTTTACAGTGCTGAGGACACGGCC